GCTTCATTTCTTACCCACCATAGTGGGTTGCAATGCCTTTACTCATTCTTCTCATTCCGTCCATCCCACCTCACTGAGGAGCCTCATGGGATGGATGGAATACAGTGGTTCGTCTGAGTAGAGGCGAAACGAACCACTTCAAACTCCTTATATAACAACTTGACTCATTTTCATCTCTTACCTTGTAGATTATCAAGTATACTGTGGATGGAACGGTATGAACTCGCTTATGAAGCTGGAGAAAGCTTCGTCGGTCATCATCGTGACAGGATTTCACAAGTATTCCAAGGTTTGTTTTGCGGCCGACATGTCGGATGGCAATTACCAAAAGTGCAAAATGCCCCCACTTCGCCGTCGCCGAACCACGCCTGTTTTACTGGAAGTGCTATAGGTCCATATAATCAGTATTTTTGTTATACATGTATTCAGTGAGGTTTCCAGCTGTTTAAATAGAGTTGTTACAGGAATTTTTTTAGGTAGTTATCGATCGACATCCTGTGCGATTTTCCGTGCATGCACGTCCTCATGTTGATTACTTCCTTTCTGTTGTTAGTCAGTGGTACGTTGTTACTATTTAATCGCTGATAGAGTTACTCCTGTAAATAGCAGTGTGCGAACAGTGTTTATTCGTAACAGGGAACGAGTTCACATTGTACGGGGTGCATTGTTTGCGACTGTTGAATGGTCGAAGACCATGTTTTTTGGATCATTTCTCGTTTTTCCCCTGTAGTAATCTATACATCAGCAGGAGTCATGAAATTCTCAGTTGCGAAGCAATGCGATAGGAGAGTGGGTTTATACCTTGCGGCAGAGGTCTGGGTGTCCACCAGCGTGTTCAGCGTCCGCCAGCGTTAAACCATGCTCGATACATCTTGTACTCTCTTAGTTGCTCAAACGCTGGCACTTAAAACGATGGTGGACGCTAAAAGCGCTACAGTGTTACACTTACTTTCCCAATCGCTCCCAATGCTTGCGGCCGTCAAAAACCTCCGTTGCACGCTTAGAACGCCCTCACGCTTCAAACGCTGGATCTACCTAAGTGTTCAAGTAGCGCAAAGCGCTCAAATCGCTGACGGGCACTCAGAGCGCTGAGGTAAGGTATGAACGCACTCTAATCGCACTATCACGCTAGCTCTTAGCCTTTTATCCTAGTTATGAACTCCCTCTAGTAAAAGTTAGTACCAGCTTAGTTAGTGCAGAATCTTGCTCTTAGCAGAGCTCAGGTTAAGGAGTTTGACGATAAGAGTAGCTAGGATTTATGATTCCCTGATTTTCATTGTATCTAACCTTGTCACAGTGAAAGAACTGATTTTGAGTACTTCTTCTAGCTGAATCTTTTTTGATTTGACCACGTTTCGGAGATAAGCCCTTCTTCAGATCATTCAGTCTTGAATATTAGCAGCTATACCCACACAATAATGTCACGGCGGAAATAGTAAACACAAGAGACAGCAGCAACCTATACCATGTAAAAAAAGGAGAACAGAGAAGATAGGAAAAGGTGTTCAAGACCGGAGATGTTTTTCACCTGTGTCAGGTGTTGAGCCTCACAGTTAGAATGGATTCCTTACAGTACCCAAGTGAATTGTTGGCTGGCGTCTTCAGGTTGTGTCTCTAACTGTGTCCCTAACCTTAGAGCCTTTCATTGTTCTCTGAATTACAGTCTTGATTTGCGGTTACGGCATGTGAGAGGGTTGTAAAACAACCAGCTTATGGTTTTTTTATAAAACTCAGTAGTCAGATAAGCCGTCTAGGGCATTGGAGCTCTTATCACGTTATCTCGCTGTCAATGTGTCGTTTTTTGCATCAGTAAAAGAAATGCTCAGTTAAGCGTTTAATAAGTATCAGGGGAACTGCTGTTTCGATACAGAATATGCTCGCCGGTACCGTATCTCTTAGAATGTATGCTCTTTCCAGGTTTGATTTGGTAGTTTTCACTGCTAGTATGGAGGTATATGGAACACATGTTGCTGATAAACTCGATAATGGGCGAGGGATTCTGAACAGGAGGTTGCTATCTTGAAGATTAGCTTTTTTTTTTTTTTTTTTTTTTTTTTTTTTTTTTTTTTTTTTTTTTTTTTTTTTTTTTTTTTTTTTTTTTTTTTTTTTTTTTTTTTTTTTTTTTTTTTTTTTTTTTTTTTTTTTTTTTTTTTTTTTTTTTATTTTAATGGA